GGGATCTTTTGTCTGATCCCTGGTAAGAAACATCTGTAGTACCAAAGCGACAACCGCTTGCTTACATTTACAGATAGAATATACTATGGTATTCTAGGTACAGCATATCAGCGAAGACACAAAAAAGTAGTAAATCAAAAGCAGAAAGAAGAAAACAAGTAATGAGTTTACGTTAGCACAGATATTTGTGCTCATGAAAGGTGTAAGATTAACAGCTCTGAACACTGAAGTCTCTTATGTAATCAATAAACAGATATACCTTACCATCAGTTATACTGTATCTTGTATCACTGCCATATTATCATAATCCTAGTCCAACAAGTCTCAGCTATACTAAGGAGAGGCCATCAGAGGAGAGAGGTCCAGCTTCCTTGCCCTCTTAATCTCTGATGTGTTTATTTAGACAGACAACACATGAGGATACAAAGGAAATACTTATGCTCTTCCCTGATTTCTGAGCTGAAAGAGAGCCCAAATAACTGTGCATCAACACATTCAATTAATGTGCTTTAGGTAATGCACATTAAATCTAGTACCTCTAGACACTTTTACACATGCTCCAGGGGTGGAGGGCAGCACTTTAATTAGAGCGGCTCCAAGAGTGGCTCTAATTAAAATGCCACTGTGTCTCATGTATCAGCAAACTTTAGTTCAAGCACCCCTGTTACCATTTTTAAGTGCAGGGATGCTGATACATGAGATACAGGAGGCTACTGGAGCATGGTAATTGTCATGCTCCAGCAGACCCAATTAATCTGAGTCTGCTCCAACTCACAGGAATTTCAGCATGTTGGAGCGTATAAGCGTATAGGCGCCATGCTCGCGTATAGGCGCCTTCCATTGTGAAGTACTATAAAAAAATCGCTTTAGCCTATTTTAGTGTGCATTAGTTAAAGAGTATGGTTTTTTTGTGGAACTTTAATGCTCATTAAAATAGGCTACCACATTAAAAACACAAATGTAGATGTGCTCGCAGACTACCTACCAGATTTCAGGTAGTAATAACTGTTGGTTCTGAGAGACTACCAAAACAGTTCAAATTCAAATCTCTGACATACCAGTGAAACACTACATCTCTAATACATCCGGTGAGTCTGACAATTTAAATCTTGGTTTCCTCTGGACTGAAAGTATCCTGGCCCACTTGCACAAGAATGGGCAATTGACAAAACAATGCAAATGTGTCTCAATGGCCCAAACAAATAAAAAACCTTAAAGTATTCTTCATAGCCATAGTTTTCTTGAATTTCATTTACTAGACTCCTCCTTTGTAAAAGAATAAGCTCTACATGTAATGTCAAGCAGACTGTTGAAAAAACTGTCCATTTTAAGGGGTCACTCCCATGGGCTATGAGTATGTTACACCACTTCAGCCAGAATCTCAAGAGTTTTCTAGGGTTCTCTTTCATCAGAATTACCCTGTTGTTAGAATATGGAAAAACTGCTCCCTCCACTTTTTCCTTGAATCAGTGCAGAAAAGGCAAAGAATTAAGTACCTAACAAAGAATAAATAGAGACTTTTTAAAGGAGTGCCCTGATGGTCACAATGACAATAAGAATTTAAATTGCACTTGAAAGAGGACAATACCTGCTTTTTGCAGGTCCTCTTGACATACATACAGCTTCCCTTGACATACCATGGCTGTGCAACTGGTGGCGCATGGGCATCTAGCCAGCTGCTGCTCCCCACATCATTCTGGCTGCAAGAGTGGCTAGAGTCTCCAGGCTCCCCCTCCAACCTCTGACTCTTTCTGCTTGCCCTGGCCTGTACAGTGCAGCACAGCTAGAGGAACTGAAGGTAAGCCTGGGGCCATGAAGGTGCACACTGAAGCAGTTTGAGGGTGGGTGTGGGTCTGCAGTGCAGGAGTGATGGAAGAGGGCCCCTGCATGCATGCAGGGAAGCAGTCAGGGAGGGCCTACACAATGCAGTGGGGTTGTCAGTGTGGCATATCGCATTGGGGGTCCCTGGCTCACCTTGGTTCTGCCCCCAACCATTTAGAGGTTGGACAGCCCTGTACCATCCTGTAATAAGACCCATTTTCCTTAATTTTCCAGTCTTTCCATATTACTGAGATAATACATCATGCCAGTGTGTCAAAATACTGCAATATACAAAAAAAATTACATGGAGGGAGGCAATATCAACAGCACTATAAGCTATAACATTCTTCATCACTTTCTTAGCAGTCAGCCCTGTACAAAAGCAATAAAACCCCATTAGTTTAACTTGCCTCTGGTCTGCTTTATCAACATATTTCACAGTTACCCTAGCCTGCAAGGCATAACCCTGTCCTCAACACAGAAAACCTTGCTTCACTTCCTGGCTGTGACTAAGTATCGTTTGGCCATATGCTAGCAAATAGCTGATGTGTTCCACCCTAGAGAAGTAGGAATGGGTGAAAAGATTCAAGTATATTTACAGATTGCTTTGGGTTCCTTTACGATGCAAGGTGACATATAAATTCTTT